ACAATGCGGGCTGGCGGCGAGGGACGCGGGCGGGCGCGCCTCGCGGCCACGTGCCGGCACCGGCGAGTGGCAGTGAAAGTCGGCGCCGACAGCGAACGCGTTCGATTGACCCGCACTCAGCGGCGGCGGCTGCGGCTCGGCCTTGTCGGTGCCGCTCGGTGACACGCTGTGGTCCTGTTGAGGGCGTCCTGTCGTGTCGGCTCCCGGGCCCGGACCGCTGACCTGACCCACCTTTTGTCCTGTACGCCGGCCGGCGGACCTTATTGATCGCCGGCCGCGGCCGTCTGGATGGCTGCCCGAGCGTCCGTCGGCCCTGCTGACTGTTCGTCTGTGGGACTGGCGGTCTCGGCGGCCCGATATCGCCCCCACCAGCTGACCTAGGCACTTGTTTCCCCTTTGCTGATCAGCCTTCTTGACCTAGACCCTGACACTTGGGCTGCTCTTCGATCGGGGAAAATCGCACGAGCCTGCAACTGCTTTTCCTCGCCTCGCACTAATTCTGCTTCGCTTCACCACGTGAGACTGCGCTCATACCTTTTTATTTGTTGCCTTTCTGATTTTAACCCTCGCCCGCACATGGGGGGGGGGTTGCCACCCCCCCCCCCCAGGTAGTCTTTCTGCTCTGCACTCGACATTTTTAGAGCTAGAAGGCTGATTTTTCGTATAGCTGCTCCTCTATCCTTTCTTGATGTCCACTGAAAATTTCAAGTTTCTGTGATTTTTGGTTTCGGAGATATGACCTTGTTTTTCAGGTCATGTCATGACCCAAATGGCCAATTCTCAACATCTTGCGTTTGCCATGGGCCTTGTGGGCTTTTGACACCCTGATTTCGGCCTTTTTTGCCAGTTTTACCTCCCACCTATCATGGAACATGTTGTTCGACGATGTACAGGGGTCAAGGTCAGGGTCAAGGTCAACCTAGGTCATCTAAGATAATTGCGTTTTAGGCAAGCTGAATTTACTTTTTGTGAATTTTTTTGACTGCATTTTTGGTAAAAGCTTCTCAGATCATGATTTCATGTAATATGGACCCAAAAACAATCGGTGCACACACCAGTATACACACAGACACACACAGACATACAAACACATATAATTGACCTTGACCTAACTTGACCTGAAATGACCTCAGCAGCAAAATTCTGGTCGGGTAGTGTGACAAAGAGGTTCTAGCTGGCTTGGCACCAGAAAACAGCATCGTCATCGATATTTGATAAGCAGCGCACTTGATATCCAACGGTGACCCAAAACAGCAACATTTTTTAGTTTGACCTGACCTGGAAGGTCAATGACTGACCTGAGGAGGTAAAACTGGGTATCATTGGATTCGTCTCTTCCCAAAGAATCTTTTTGGTCTTTACCGCTAAGCTCTATCTCCAACAGGAACGAAATGGCGCGGGGGGGGGTGTGGCAACCCCCCCCCCCCCATGTGCGTTCTAGGATGGGAAAATGGCATGTGCGGGCGAGGGTTAAAGAAAGAAGTTTGATTGGAAAGAAGGAAAACATGCGAGAAGGTTTGTCTTAGACCCCGCTTCAGTCTGTGTGTGCGCGAGTTATCCTTGTGTTTACGTGCCTCGTGATTATGCGACAGGAACGCGACGTGACCGGCATTAAATGCCTGCGTGTTTTTCGTTGATTTCCCTCTCACCTGACCACCGGCCTGACGTCCCGGCTCGTCGGTATTCCGTGTGGTCCGTCCCGCTAACCTGCTGAGGCTGAGCCAGTGTTGTCGGACCGTGCACTGTCCCACGGACAGTGAACGCCTCGCCAGCTTCAGAAATATGCCACTTTATCATAGGCACTTGCTCGCAGTGGCTGTGATTATTCGTTATAACATTGGGAATGGCGGCGGCAGATTTGAGCCGGCCCGCGGCAGTCAGTGGGACTGCCGCCGGCCCACTTACGGCGTTATGAAACCGAGAGTGGCTCCTTACTGTCGCGTCCAGTGGGCCGCGTAATCGGAGTGGGCCGAAATGATTGTCTCCAAATTGGCGCTGTCTGTAATGGTGGTCCCAATTGGCGGCGGCTTCCAGACGGAGCTGATTGCAATGTCTGGCGCCGGCCGCGCAGACCGGGCGGTGTCTGATGTCCGCTGACGGCTGCCGCTGGGGATACCGTCAGCAGCTGCAGGGGCTGCTGTGATCCCAGCGGCTGCTGGCAGCTGTGACAGCTGTGATCTCAGCAGCTGCCGCGGGGGCTGCTGCTGCTGATGGCCCGGTCGTTGCGGACCGCTGACACGTCTAATGAAGACGGACGGCGGCCGCGGCGGCGCGGTGTCCACTCGGCTCCCACGGCCCTGTAGCAGCGCGCCTGGACGGGGTGGCAGTGAGAGCCCGCCGGCGGCCGGACCAGACCCTCCTTGCCGGGTCACACCTCTGGGGTCTCCCACAGACCGCTGGCCTCGATTGGAGTGGCAGGTGGTCAGCTCGACTCTGAGAAGTCGAAAGAAATTGAAAGTACCCTCGGTGCCGGGGTTATCCGGCATCCGCCTTATATTACCTACATCAATTACTCGTGCAATTATAGCCTCCTGCAGTATTCTGCCTTATCAATTACATAACGTTCCCTTTTAAAGCAAGCACATCAGGCGAGTGAATTGGCGTTGCTCGTAATAGCCGGCTCTCGTGTTTCATTTATGCAGCAAAAAATATCGGCTCGTCGGGGCTGTTTTCTAGCGCCGGTTCGTTTGCCATCGGAGATTGGAGCTCATTAGGGCTGGAGGAGACGCCAGCAGTGCTGATGGATGGGATTGCAAATCGGGACGCTGCAGCGCGCCGCGGTTTTTGTTGAACACGAAATGACGGATGCATCACGAACAAAGCCTACGACGCCCAATGACTTCCTCATTTTCCTCTGGACTCCCAAAAGAATTATGCATTTGTTTTTGTAAAGTTTGTTGGAGGCTGGAAATTTAAGCTGCTGCTGGTGGCGGTGTTGCTCCTATGCTCCCGTCTTTTCGATGTCTCTGCACAGCTCTATCTCGAAGCTGTTCATCACCGTGGGTGTAGGGCTTACAGCGGCTAACAATGACGTCTCAATTTACATTCAATTAGCCGGTGAGCCGCGCCCGGCCGGACCAGCGCCGCGGGCAGTGACCAGTGGCCAGCACACTCCTCCGACTCTGCACGGCAGGCAGTCTGTGGCCGGCGCTGCGCGGCCCGCTGCAGTGGTGAACCGATACCCAGCGGCCCAGTCCGACCCGCCGCCCGGCGGTGCACCAGCCGACCTCCGCAGTACACTGCCATTTCGGTCAGCACTGAATGACAGACGGAATGAATGGACGCCCTGCGCCAAACGGCGCTAGATTCCACGTACCAATGTCAATGGTGCTTGATGGTCAGACCGGGCTGCGAGCCGTGACCAAATAGCCCAGACGGATTTAATGTTATGCTATCATTTGGGCGTATTTGGACAGGGGCCCGCCGACGCCTCCTTCCGAAGGCGCTATTTGAAGAGCACTATCGGGAACACATTGGAGGCATTTGTTTAGCCGTGCGCCTGCTCGGTGAAGCGCCTTATGGAGGCTACTCGGCCTGCCTGCGCTATAATTGCTGTCTTGTTTGGTCATTTTTAGAACAAATATGACGACTATTCGTCCGATAATTATGCATCGGCACATAAAGTTGAAAAGCATGGCGCGTCTGCAGACATTTTTTTCTCATTAATCGAGTTGTTTACAAATAGCTCCAAGGATATTTAATAAGTGAGTTGCTCCACTTTTTATGCGCCGACTAGCATGGAAGCGAATGCCACCGATGTGCACATCGTGTCGGTCATTTTTTTTTATTCACGTTCATCCGGACACCTGTACTGTCGGACAGGCACTTGCCGAGACGCAGGTTTTCTGCGAGTACACTGCCGCCCTGTCCCTCCCGGCCTGTGGCCCTGGCCGCCTGGAGGGTCGCCTGGAGGGTCGCTCGCCGCCGCCTTTCAGCTCGGTCCTGTCCGCGTCTCCGCCGCGCGGTGCCGCGGGGCGTCTTTGTCGGCGGGCCTGCGGTCGGCCGCCCGCCGACGCTCTCAGAACGGCCATAATTGGGCGTGGTCCGCGGCTGGGGAGGCGGCCGGCCCGCGGTGGCCGGCTCACAGGCCACTCCCTGGCGACAGAGCGCGTGGCGACCACCTCCGTCCCCGGTCAGTTTTCCTTCTGCTGCGCCGCCTCCCGTTACTGCAGGCCGATGTTGCTCGGGTCATCGCGGCTTTTTGCCGCCGCTCTGCGTGTTGGAGCGGTCACGGGTCGGGAAAACACGGCCAATGGCGCCGGTCCTGTCTACGGACGGGGAAGACGCGTCGCGTCGGCGCCACACCGACAGGCGACGACGCCGGGGGCGCCGGGCCGGCCCGCCCCCGCTTAGTGCAAGTGGGGGTCGAGATTGAAATGCATAGCGCTTTTACGAAACGCCTATGTTTTAAGAAACCGTTTGAGTAGGTACCCGTTTTTAACTCTTTCTCCTCTTTCCCTCTCTCAGTCCTCTTTCCTCCTCTCTCCTCTCGGCGGGCCCGACCGGCGTCTGTCGGCTCTCTGGCCGTCGTTGCCGGCGGGCCGCCGGTGCGTCGCGTGTCGCGCCGCGCCGCGCCGCTGCCTCTGGTGACAGAGCGCGCCGCTAATCGCCACCTGGTGCGTGGCGAACACGGCGCGGACGCCGCGCCAGAGAGCACCGCTGCTTGATGGACCGGGTCCGCTGCGGCGGCCGACCCACAACGGGGTGACTTTGAAGGCTGCATTCTCCGCTCTCTGGTGTAACCGCTGTTAAAAATTTCGCAGACACGCATGAGTTATCTGTAGATCTTACATATCCAGCGCACGCTACTTTAATGTTCGTTGCGTAATGATGAACATTTCAGTCTTTTTTCTATCATTGGTCCTCATTAGATATGATGGCATGAAGGGATAATGGGTGTTCATATAATGACATACACGTAACTTTATGGCGCGGTACGGATTCAAGACGCGATGGCATATGCAACGTTCGTAACTGATGCATGTCTCTGTCCTTTGCAGATTGTTGCCACAGGTTGAAGAATGGGTTAAAATGAACACAGCGCCAGGCATACCGAATCGGAAACGTAAGAAATCGGACGCCACCAACGAGCAAGCGAATGCGCAGTAAGTACCGTCTGTGTGTCTTGCATTGAGGCCTGACTGGTGGAATTGGCATTGCGTTTGTTGGCATAATCTCTTGCCATCCTAAAGAGCCTTGGGTTGTGTAAGGGTAAATGAAATCTCTGGATCTGATGCAATCAGTGATAACGCGGTGTATGCTGGGCTGGCTTTAAACGACAATCCTCTGAACGTTATGACGCTTTAATCAAAGTGTCGCTCAGCCCTGATAAACTATTACTTTCTTGTAGCCATCGGCTTGGAGGGACGGGGTAGATTAGGTTCCTTTTCTGACTCCATCCCCAGGATATAGGTAAACGATCATCTTTGTTTATTTAAAAGATATCATGGAATGTCGCGGGCGACTCACCCTCGAAAGTCATATGACGGTGCATGCAACGAATCATTTCGGCGAATGCCGTCCATCCGGAATGCAGTATTTAGTGACCACTCAAGAGCTTCGGGACAACTTTGGCATTTGAAAACCCTGTGGACTTCCACATTGCTATCATGGGAACCATCCTAAACGACTGCCGATTCAGTACTGTCGCCGAGAAAAATGCCCAGCGCTTCTGCTCATGATAATTATCCTTGCGGTTTTTGCGGATTAGACTGCTGATGCATCAGTGAGGGTTGGTGGGGTGCATCGTTAGTGGCAGGAAGCCGAGGAGGCCTCCAGCGGTCGCCGTGTCACATTTTCATGGCCACATGTTGGGCGCGCGGGACTTTGCCGGCCTTCAGCTGTGGTGTGTTTCTCAGGGCTCCGCCGGGTGACCCTTCAGTTACAAGGTGAGCGCCATTTGGTGTGGTGGGCGGAGGAGCTGCCACCCGTTAGTCAAAGAGCCTCCTGTCGACTTCCAAATGATGTGAAATGTTTACGGCTGCTGGAAGAAGATATACTGGTCTTTCTTTCATCTTTGTTGGCTTGTTGTACAGTTTTGTTGTTGTATTTACACTTAGCACAAGCTTCATTGTGCAGAGTTAACCCGGCAACTTGTCTGCGATTGTTTACAAAGCAAGGTTGAATAATCACTCAACCTCACTTTAACGTTTCTGCCATTTTCCCGCTATTAAAAAACACATGCACAGTAACTTTTCTCTCAATTCTTCAAAAGTGGTTTAGGCCGAATGTTGAAGTCCGTGTGATATGTCCCACTCTGTTCTCGAGCCGTGTCGTTCGGCCTCCCCAGCAGGTCAGCTCCTGGGGGTTCCCCTCAGAGGTAACAGGCCCCACCGCAGCTGATTCATGGGGGCAGTCACGCACGCCGATTGACTTATTGCAGGTTGCTAGTCACTTTCACTAGCTTGCAACCTTGCGCGTCGGCTCGTTCATTTTCAATGTCATTTTACGGTTTTTTATAGAAAGCCCTACCATTTTTTTTTTTTTTTTACTTTGATGTCGGTTTGCGAGATTACATCATTTTATTCGTGGTTATTGCTTGAATTTACCATTTAACTATGTTTTTATCAGTATTTTTATGAGCTTTTGCTTTATCCCTTGTCTCGCCTTCCGATTTCTGGATTTTCGCCTTCTGGAAGTTCCTTCCACACGCACCCTTGCCTTCCGTTTCTAAATGTTTCACTCTGTGCCGACTGCTCGCCACCGTAGCGCTATGGAGGCCAGCGGCACGGGTAGGGGGGCGGAGGGGGGTACCCATTACTGCGCACCTGTGCACCGTGGCGGGGCGACCTCACCGTGACCCCGGCCAGCGGCGTACAGACGAGGCACCAGACGGCTCCCCGCAGCTAGACGGCAGATAGTAGATAGAGCCACTGACAGGCGGCAGTAGACAGTAGACAATTGTAGGTTTAGACGGCAGTCGTCGGATGGCTGTAGAATGTAGATACACAACATACTGCTAAACAGCAGGTGGTTCGCAACATGCAGCAGACTGTAGACAGCGCTCGAGTCTGTTTTGCCCTCGGCTGGTGTGTGCTCGGAGTACTGCTCCTCGGAGGCTCGGTGTGCTCCGTCACGGCTCAGACCCGGCCCGGAAGTCGTGACACCGTCACGGTGCAGTAACGCCTTCGTGACGTCACTCTGCAATAGGTTAGGTCGTTTTTACCGCAGAACATTCAACGGCAGGATGTTCGTCCAGTGTATTGCTCTCAGAGACGGTAGTTCCTTTTAGCCTTACGTGTTCAACATAGTTCTGAAGTCATCACGCTCATGTCGAACTTTGTGTGACGTCACCGAGCCCCGGTGGACGCCGGTGTGACGTCATCTCACCTGCCGCCACATCCAGCGGTGAAGTTGGGTTATGACGTCACTGGTAGTTGCTCACCGGCTGCACGCTGGCGGTGGGTGTGACGTCACTTCTGCCATGCTGTCACGGTCCAACTATGCCGGAAATGCGGCCGCCCGGTGAAACAGGTGTTGGGGCCACGACCAGCGGCTCTCGATGCGGGCCGCGGAGTCGTGATAGTGCGAGCTGCCGGCGCCACTCGACCCCCGTCCAGCTGGAGGTGTGGGTGTTTGTCTCGTGCGCGGACGGCGGACGGACGGCGACCGCCCGGTGTACGGTCCACTGTGTGTGCTCACTGTGTGTGCCTGTACCGTGTGTCTGTACACTGTGCTCTGTGCTACGTGTCCCGGTGCGCGCTGTGCCGGCGTGTGCGTGCCTGTGCGTGTGTGGGTGTGTGTGTCGCACGCTAAGTGCCCCTTCCGGCTGTGGTCGGCCGGGCCGCCCCTCCCCAGCTCTGACCTGACCCCTCTGTGCCGCAGGGTGAAATGTCAGAATGAGAAGCGCCGCCGCGAGCTGGAGAATGCGTTCATCAGTGAGCTTGCCAACTTGATATCCACCAAGGATATGACCCAGAATGGCAAGAAGGACAAGTGTGTAATTCTTCAGGAGACCGTCAATCAGGTGGGTTAGACTGACTCGGGGAAGCAGCTCTATGTAGATTGTCATGGCAATTTCTCGTGCAATTATTGCATGTGCTTGCGCGTATTGCTTTGAATTTTGGAGATAGGCTGGTTGGTTGAATGCCACCAGGAAAACATGGAACATGTTTAAGTGGGGATGAGGTACTGCAGTTAGGGTGATGAAAGCCCACCGGTTTTATTCTAACGCTGCAAGTTGCGTCAGGCGGCAGACGGCTGTGCAGAGCTGTCCGGTGGTCAGTGTAAGCACAGAGCACAGCTCGTGCCGGCCTGCCGGGCCGACCCGTGACTGGGAGCAGGGACCCGCGCTAGTGCGCAGTGATCGGCCGGCTGCTGAGATGGATCGATCATGTGAGGAGCGACCTCGGCACCTGACACCCCTGCCCCGCCGGCCGGCCGGAGTGAGCCAGCCGGCCAGCCGGCCGTCTCGGCCGGGCGGTCCTCCCATGCGGTGTTGATGCTGCATTTTTGCCGGACGCCTAATGGACTTTCGATGCTGATCGCACCAAACCTGTTGGTCGGCGGCGGTTTTCCGTGCTGGCCGACGGCCGCGGGGCGGCGCTAGTGGCCGCCCCGGCCTCCCCGCCCCCCGCCCCTGCCCCTGCCGCCGCCGCCGCTGCCAGCGTGGCCGAGCCGCGGACCGCTTGCCGGCAGCCCGCCGCCCGCCGCCCGCGTGGCTCGGCGCCGCCAAGATGGTGTTTATTTTGATGGAGTTCTGTGGTATCGGGTGCGTGCATTGCTGGATTGAACCGCCCCGGTGGAGCGCCCCCCGGGATAGGCCGCGGTGCGCGTGAACAGACCCGCCCGAGCATTTCCGCTGATTGCCTGGCGGCAGACTTGTGATCAGCTCAGTTGAGCCGGCTCAAAAATCAGCTCAGCTCATGAGCCGGCTCAACATTTTGCCAAATTGTTGAGCTGTGAGCTGAGCCGGCTCAGTAATGCATTGAGCTGAGCTGCTGTCTGAGCTGAGCTGAATGAGCTTGAGCTGAGCTGAGCTGAATGAGCTTGAGCTGAGCTGAGCTGAGCTGAGCTGAGCTGAGCGAGCTGAGCTGAGCTGAGCTGAGCTGAGCTGAGCTGAGCTGAGCTGAGCTGATTGAACTGAGCTGAGCTGATTGAGCTGAGCTGAGCTGATTGAGCTGAGCTGAGCTGATTGAGCTGAGCTGAGCTGAGCTGAGCTGAGCTGATTGAGCTGAGCTGATTTAGCTGAGCTGAGCTGATCCAGTTCTAATTCTTTTCAGTTCATGCTTGGAAATTAACTCAGGATTTGATGCTTCAGCTATGAGCTAGCTATGGAGTGAGCAATTACACTGCCTTCGTGATCGCACTTAAAAATATCAAAACTCTAAAGAAATCAATATTAATCACTAATCAAGCTTAATTTATTTCATCCATATTGCATGGAAATTGGAAGACCAGGGTCTTGGCCAATTTACAGGCTAATACAGCCAGTCTCAAGTTTCAAGTCTGACTGCAAGATGAATACCTACTGTCAGGCTTTAATGCTTCGCCTTGACACTCTGCTCCGCAATGTACAATTCAGCATTCTTCACTTTGTTATTTAAGCAGTTATTTAAATTAATTTTATCGATAAGGGTTCTTACCTCTGCATAAAATATTTGCAATTAGGAATTAGCAAATAATGTTCCTCTTCGTTGGTTGAATGTGGGCTAAGCAACCATATCCTATTGAAAGTGGGGTGGGGCAGAGGCGCTAACTGGAACTCTCACCTTCTGATGTCCATAATATGGGAAAAACTCCCTTATTCACACGCCGACTATGAATTCTAATTGTGTTGACATTGCCTTGGTTGAGATCAGGGTGGTGTTTGGTTTCACTCAAGGTTTCACTGATAACAGCACGCTGCTATCACACGTGTCAAATGGGGTTTCCATGGAGATATAAACAAACTCTTATCTCCAAGTTCCAACACTACCCCAAAATGTAACGTCAGCTCCTGGCAGGGTGCCAAGAGCGGATGGCGGCGTGGGCGTGCTGCTCTCGGCCGTGAAACACCGCCTAGTTGAGATGATTCCATGGCGTTTTTTTTCGTCTAGCAGATTTTCGTCCGACTTTTCTTCGTCTGGCATTTTTTCGTCTGTACATTTTTTTTCGTCTGTAAACTTTTTCGTCCAGACTTTTTTCGTTCGTATATTTTGAACTTATATGTTATGTTAACATCGCGGGTGCACACTCTGATAACATGTGATAACACTGCCAAGAACAGTCCATTTCATGTACCTAACTATAGTCTGAGTCCAAGTAGACGCACGACTCGCAAAGTCTCAAGGTCTTAATGAGCTTATCTCTTTTGCCCATTGTGTAAGTTGCCTCGCTCCTTGTTAGAGGAGACTTACTTATGCGCCAAGAGTTGGTCTGTTTTTTTAACCCTCGCCCGTATTGGTGTTTTTCCAGCCGCGAACGTATAAGGGGGCGGGGGTCCGTTGGACCCCCCCTTGCCGTTTCGTCCCTGATCGAGCTAGAGCTTCGCGGAAAAAAACGAGCGTGCTGCCCGCGACGAGAGGAAGCCGATGATACCTAATTTTAAGGTCCTAGGTTATCGGTTGACCTTCCAGGTCAGGTCAATGACCCAAAAGTCGGGAAAATCGGGACCTGTTAGAACGTCGTAAAACGTGGCTGCTATGAGGTTTTTCGGGGTGCTGATCACGAATATCATGTTAGTTATGATCACTGATGATGTCTTTATGCATTGAGGCCAGGTCGGGTCAGGGTAGGTCAACCAGTAAGGATTTTGCCGGGTATTCGTAGTAGCCTCTGACAGCTTCGTAACATGTTACGAAGGCACCAAAACTGCTTCGTAAATGTTCAAATGGTTGCTAAATTCGAATTCAGCTCCAAAAACTAGCCTAGAAACATGTAAAACTCGAAAAAGTGAACCGAGGTCATCAAAGGTCAGTGACCTGACCTGACCTTCCGGTGACCTTGACACCCACCCTAATGCATGGGAGCAACATCATATCCCATGTTTGAACACTTGAAACCACAAAAAGACTGCTAACGCGCGGCTAATGCGAGCCGACATACGCCGAATCGCGATTCCGGCCAAACATGGTCTCGAAAAGTAGGTCACAGGTCAAAGGTCATTAGGGTCAGGGTCATGAAATTTACAGGATAGGTGTAAAATTGATTATCGCGAGGGTACTGAAAGTTTCGTCGCGATCGGCCGCTTTTTACGCGAGTTATTCGCGAAAAACAGAGGGGGGGGGGTCCGTTCGACCCCCCCTATACGGGCGAGGGTTAAGCATGTCCGATTTAAAAAGAACGACTGAACGATCTAAGCGTGAATTTAACTGAGCGGAAACTGAGCTAAGCTGAATTGAGCGGAAACTGAGCTGAGCTGAGGTGAGCGGAAACTGAGCTGAGCTGAGCGGAAACTGAGCTGAGCTGAGCGGAAACTGAGCTGAGCTGAGCGGAAACTGAGCTGAGCTGAGCGGAAACTGAGCTGAGCTGAGCGGAAACTGAGCTGAGCTGAGGTGAGCGGAAACTGAGCTGAGCTGAGCTGAGCGGAAGCTGAGCTGAGCTGAGCTGAGCGGAAACTGAGCTGAGCTGAGCTGAGCGGAAACTGAGCTGAGCTGAGCTGAGCGTGAGCGGAGCACAGCCGGTTTGAGCGGAGCGTGAGCTGAGCTGAGCCGTGTTAAACTGAGCGGGAGCTGAGCGGGAGCGGATAAAACGGAGTTGAGCTGAGCGAGCTCACTTTTTTCTTGAGCTGTCACAAGTCTGCCTGGCGGGGTAGCGCCGGGAATATTGGGCCCGTTTTTACCGCCGGGGTTTTGCCGCTGCGGAGTAATGCGCCGGGTCATATACTGTGGATTTCCCGTGTCTGACACTAATTCCAATGGACGTCGGCCCGTTCGTTAGCCGAGATCTATTTCTGTTTGTCCAGCGGATTGATTTGCGACCCAGGCGCTGGAGCGGCGGCGGTTGAGCGTCGAACCATTCACCCGTCCCGCTTCTGCGCCATACGGTCCAGTCGGCCCTTTCCAACTCGCCGACGCACAGTGGCCCTTTTTCAGAATTAGCACGCATAAATTCAAAATATTTTTTCTCTTCTTTTGAGTAAAAAGTAGTCTAATCGTGTGCAAAACATTCCAAACTATCCGATGGTGCCATTTTTACCTCCTAAAAAATAATCATCTTTGGTAAAACTGACCGCAAAATCGAAGTTTGTCGAGAGGCGCGCGGACACCACCGGCGGACCCTAAAAAGTAGGGTGAGATGAACAACAATTTGTAAGGCTTTCGGTGAGAAAATATTAAAAATAAGTGGCATGGCTGTGAAGCTGAGTTTACGTAGAAGCCCTAGAAACCACAATTTTCATTGTATAAACTTAAATAGGCCACTTTTGCCGAATATTGTGGACACAATAACAGGACGATTATTAACTGGAGATGGCGGCATACATATGAAGCTTTATGTTAAGTAGCACACTCTGGAACATGTCGTATTATACATCGTTCGAATCGCCGATCTCTTCTGACCATGTTCACCAAATGGCATCGCGCCATTTTGCGCCATTTTGCTTCTACGGTGGATAACGTGAACCAGTTCAGTCCGCGAACGGCTGTGGCTCCTGTTCGATACGACTAAGCTCATTGACCTGGCTCGAAGCTGGTGTCACCTGGTGGGCGCCTAAATGTGGCTTGACTTTTGCCATAAGATGTGCTTATTGAAATGTCATGTAGGCATAACGCTGTGCTCAAGAAAAACTGTCCGATTTCTTGTCGCGTTTGATGTCCAAGCCGCACAAGTCCCGTGGGATCGGCTTAAGATCTAACGTCAAAAGCGCCTATGTGTTTGTATTGTTCGCGTCGCGCTGACCTTAGTTGCTGCTCGGCCGGGGCCGACTAACGGTGGCTGGCAACAGCTGTAGATGCGGTCACGTGACGCCCTGAGGCGTCCTGGCGGTCAGTGCAGCGCGGTCGGCTGGCGGGCTTTCCACACTTGCGTTCGGAGCGGCCTGGGCCG